GCGCTGCCCCTGGAGGAGGCAGACCCAGCCTTGGCACTGCTCTGTCCGGTACGTGCGCTCCGCGCCTACGTCGACAAAACGCGGTGTTTCAGGACCTCAGACCAGCTCTTTGTCTGTTATGGGAGGAGCCAGAAGGGAAGGGCTCTCTCAAAGCAATGGCTGTCTCACTGGATAGTGGACGCCATTACTTTGTCTTACCAGCAGCAAGGTCGGCGTGCCCCCTTGGTGTGATGGCCCATTCCACTCGGAGTGTGGCCTCCTCTTGGGCTTTAGCGCATGGCGCCTCGCTAACAGACATTTGCAGAGCTGCAGGCTGGGCGACACCAAACACCTTCGCGAGATTCTATAATCTGCGAATCGAACCGGTATCCTCTCACGTACTCGCTTCCGCCAGTACTGGACCCGCTTAGGTGTCTTCGCTTGCTCGCCATTCCACTCCTCGGACTGGATAAATGCGATATTCCTCAGTAGTCTTCCGTTGAGGCCTTGAGTCCTCCAGCACCCATGATGCGGGCACCACTGCTGTTGCTCTGGATGGCGGCTAGGTGCCTCCATGTGCACGGTTCCTTATGGTAACTGTCTCATGTGTATTTTCCACTGTAAGCCTCTCTGAGCATGTGTCTTCCCTTGGCAAGCCATCTGCCACCCCTGGAGTTAAGTTCTAGTAACCACCTGCGGTTGGTGCTCCAGTGATCTCCATATGCGCCCCTATGCGGCCATATGTGTATTCGTAAGTCCTCCCTACGGTAGGCATCTGGTAGCATGTCCCTCCCGGGATATGTTTCCCAGTGTACCTTGGTATTCCTGTGTCAAAGTAGGATCTCCTGGTGATACCTAGGTTCAGGGGTCTAGACTTTCGCAGGGCACTGGAAGACAGCTGTAAGATGGCGTGATGGCATTGACCCCACTTGACCGTCACTTCTGACGTAACTCGAAGTGACTACGAAAGGGAACGTCTCTGTTACGGATGTAACCCTCGTTCCCTGAGTAGGGAACGGAGACGTTACGTCTCCCTGCCACTTCTGCTGTACCGCTGGGTAGACGCCTGAGTTCAGTCTTGGCTCCTCAGCGAAGACATACTGCGGTTGCGTTCACTTCCTCCTTTTATACTCACGGAGTAGGGCGGAGTACGCTATGCAAATTTCCGCAGCCCCAAGGCATTTCATGCCATTGGCTCGTGATTAAATACCCGAAGAGGATTGGCTTTCTATGCAAAACCCCCAATCTCCGTCACTTCTGATGTAACGTCTCCGTTCCCTACTCAGGGAACGAGGGTTACATCCGTAACAGAGACGTTTTATATTTCATGGCAGTGTAATGAGTGGAAATAAGGTGTGGCCCCTTTAAGAGCTGCACGCGCCCTCTTTATCGTCTGCACTCTTTCAGGATGCTAATCTAGCTAGTACAGTGTAGTTCGAATTTTTCAGTTTTCCTACACATTCACAGGGAACTACAATATAACTAAACATTAAATTACCATAACTCTCAATCCACAGATTCCCGCGTTGTATTTATCGTTGTATTTGTTGCTGTTGTAACTGCTCCACCTCACGGAGCAGCAGCAGCCAGCGTGCGCATCTCATTAGTAACCTGACCTGCATGGCCAATCGTCCACTGAGCAGAAATCAGCTCTCACAGCCTCAGTACGACCATTACTGTGTTATTTAAAAATGTAAAACTGGACCTAAATCGGTTGATCAGCTGTCACCATTGATTGACTGCATTTCTATTGTTTCTTGTGTTGACGAACTTGACCAACTACCTATCAGATCTTGGGTGGACACAGGGGTGGCCAATGACCTTTCAGGGGTGGCCAGGGGGCCACCCCAGGCCACCCCCTAGAATCGCCAGTGGACGTACTCCGACAGTGACAGACTGATAGGGAACATCTCGGTTACGTATGGTAACCCTCGCTCCCTGAAGGAGGGAACAGAGACATACGTCCCGCAGCCAAAATTCCCGTACAACTGCTCGGCTCCTCAGCGAAAACCTGAAGAGGCAATGCACCTGCTACTTATTATATACCCTCTCTGCGAGGCAGAGCAGCTGCTGCAAATCATTACGTGCCAATGTTTATTGGCTCCTTCAGTAATTGAGACGTTTCTGTAGTTTCCAAAATGCCACTTTATTTTCTATATATTTTTGATAACTGTGGTTGCTCATACCAACTTATTAACTTTATTGTATTAACAAATTTATTGAGATGAATGAACTCAGTGGTACTCAACCCATAGACCTGAAATACCCCCAGCACTGCACAAGATGTCTTCCTAAATCAAACACCCTTGATTCAACCTATCAGCTAGTTAATAAAGAATCCAATACCATAGATAGGTGTGTCAGACATCAAAAAAGTGCAGTGTTGGGGGTACTCCAGGACAAGGGTTGGGAATCAGTCTATTAAAGCTACAATACCTAAGATTTAGATGCCGCTAGAGGGCGAATGTCTTTAATAGACATTCAAAACAACAACAACGGCTTTGCTTGATGACGACGTGGAGAAACGCGGAATGATGGGAACTGTTGTTTTCAACTCCACCGTGGATAAATCAGTCAGACAGGAATCGAAAATTAGTTGTCATGGATGAGGTAAAGTTCGATTTCTATAAATGTTGCGTTTACATGCTTTTTTTCCTTAAACTGAAATAACTGCAAGAGAAGTCAGGTTTAAAAGTAAATGAGTTATCACAGATGTTACTGTACGAGTCACTGGACGAAGCTATGGTGGAGAGGGTTTGAAGGGGCAGGTCTCTTGCAAGGAGTTGATGTGGCTTGTCCTCCTTTTTGGTAACTTTATAAAAATAAAAAATCATGTACATTTGACACATCTTTTCATGTCGTGTAAGTATTCAACCACAGCTACAGTTTCACAAAATTAACGTTAAGGGGGTCGCACACCGGACGAGAAGCTCAGCGCCGCGCCACATATTTAAAATTCAAACACATTATTCTCTATAAGTGTACACATACCGGCGGCGCCATTCGGCGTCTGTCCGCGGCGCCTAGCAACGCCTCAGGACCGTGTTCAAAATCCTGCTGCGCCACAGAGCGCCATTTACATGGTTTTGTATAAAATTTTTATTATTTTTGTCTCAAATCGTTGCTAATGGATCCTGACTTCGCCCTATGCTTCAATATGCATAGTTTTGCCTTCATTTACAGAAATCAGCTGATTGAATAACAATAGCTGATGTTATTAGATTTTTCAGGTGAGATTCTCAATTCATTCAGTTAACGGATGATCTGAGGTAAAGTTTTCAGAATGCAGATTCAGCAACGATTGTATTTAATTGTACAGTACAATCATAACATAGAACAGACATTATCTTCATTTCCTGTCATTAAACATAACAATATTGCTGGCCATACACTGATGAGAAAGTGCGCGTCCGGTGTTCGATAACGTTACTGTGGAGTTGCCCTAAACGTGGCGCGGCGCTTCTCGTCCGGTGTGCAACCCCCTTTACAGCCAACAGTTCACATTCCGAGAATAAATGAAAAGAATAATTGTGCTCCATTCCATAACAAATGCGTGAAACAAGCTTACGTTTGTTGCTTGATAGACGCTAACGCACAACTACAACTACCGCATTTGTCCAGGACTACACGTAGTACGAGCGGAAACCGAGGTAAGCGGATATGACACGATTGACTCGCGACTCCCAGCTCACCCCTGCTCACACGCCCCATTTCCCTAGTTAAAATCTCAATTTTCTCGCGATTTAAACATTGTTTGAAACATTTGGAATATTGTAAGTTATCATCTTAACTAAATATTTAACACTGGCCTTGTGATTTTGGTATATTTTAATGCAAAAATCTTAGGTATTGCACCTTTAACTAGTTTGGGACTACTATTTAATAGCCTTACTTTGTACTGTTATTCATCAGAGTTAATGATATTCTTAAAATGTATGTATATTTTAAAGGTGGGGTATGTGATTTTCTTTTTTGACCATTTTTTTCAAAATTACTTGAAATCCTATTCCTAATCCAATTACAGCCACTTATAGTTAGAAGCACTGAAGTGAAAATTAAGCAATTTAATAATCTGTGGAACGGTCAGGACTCAAAAAATCTCTAGCCAATCATTTCCAAGACCACCAAGAATCATTGGACAGGAAGTGTGTCAATCAAACGGTCGTACCGTCCCCTTCATGCGCATACTCAAAGCTTGTGACCCAGTCACAGTAAGTGCAAGTCGCCCCGGTACAGAGAGAGAGAGAGAGTAAGTGCATGATTCCCTAAGTAAGTGCATGCGTCCATGTTCTTCGAATGGGTGGGGTCAGGGCCAGCGTTGGAGGACAGAAGGTACGACCTTTTGAGTTGTGTATTTTCAAAATCTGCCTGCCGTTTTGCAAATCCAATACCCTACCTTTAAGTAAAGAGGGACAGAACTTCTGTCAACCATTTTTGGGTAATTAATTTGCTCGGTTAAAATTCCTAAAAATTTGGGTTGCGGCTTCATGAACATAGGAAAATGTGGGTCCATGGCCAAACCAGTTGAGAACCGTTTTGGATCATGCAGGACGTAGAGGACACTCGGATGCTCTATTCTGACACACTGCACATGTTTCTTTCATCTTTGGTTAAACTAATCATTTAAGTTTGTAAATTAATAATTTCCCCCCATTTTTCAGTTTCAATTTAGTTTTTAGTTAAAAAAAATACAATGCATAGTTCAGAAACACTACCTTGCGTTAATGTGTTTGGCTAGCACCACCTAGCATCCAATCAGTGCTAATACCAGTATCATCGGTTTGAACGTGGATACTGTGTGAAAATTATGATATTGCGGTAAGTCTATTTCAAACAAACTTAATTGACAGTCCAGCTATTGGATTGTGTCAAAGGTTGAACCTCTGACACTCTTACAAAGGGTTCCAAATGTTCACTTTATATTCACAAATATATATGAATTCTAATGAGGTCACATTGTTGTTGAAGGCACAAATTATTTGGTTGCCACTTATTCATATGATATTTTTTTTCTTTTCCAGGTGAGTGTATTTGGGTTTGGAGCAGATGAAAATGGAAACTGGCATCATTACTTTGAACAAAATAAGCATCATCGTAATGCTGGCAATCATGGAGGAAGCTATGAATATCGTATTGCACTTAAGCTTCATGAGAAAAAAGGAATTCGGTTGTATAAAGGATGGTGACTGCATTACATTTCACATTTATTAAGTATTCTTAATATTATGCATGGTCAAGACATTTTTTTAAGTTCATCATGAACAAAACAAAGGCTATTTAGAGGCAGCATGCTCAGTACTCAGTACCACCTAAAACGCATTGTTTTTCTCAAATAAATTTACAAACACACTGTGCAGGGTCATGTTTTAACATAAGAATTGCCGTCATTACCAGATGGCATACATATGTGATTCTGAGTAGTAATCAACAAGGAATAGATATGTAACAACTATTATAACTGTAGGGAAGCCAACCAGTTGGAGTGGAAAGGGGGAAAGATGTGCTGTACAAAAAAGTTGATGCAAAATTCAAAATGGTGTTTTATTGTAAGGTGCTAAAATATTTGCAGTGCAGGAGAAAAAACAAAAATGAATAAAAACTGTACAAAAAGAAAATAAAACAGCAACAATGTGCTAATTTTGGCTAAATCAAATGGCCCAACGTTTGCATCACTGCTCAGTATATGAGTTCACAATCAGAACTGAAATCCTTTCAGCCAGCAAGTCTATTTATAGGCTGAAGCTAACTAATACATTTGTAACAATCAATTTAAATAATATAAACACCCAACACAACAATTAAACCTTCCAAACAGCTAAAACAACAACCATTAACAGAGGAAGAGTTTAACAACAAATTACATGACAAAAACAACCAAATCCAAAATCCCCCTCCTCTGACATCACACCAAAATGGTATCTTCCACAGGAAGTGATGTGGCCGTTGCTTTAAAAAACAGTTTAACCTGGATTATGGGGTTGGTTGTACAGAGTGTGAACCTGGAAGTTTAACTGCAATAGGGTTTGTGGAAAATATGTGGGAAAATAAAGGAAATTATCATATAAATTATTGTGTGTTCTGGCATTCGGTTCATTTAGGAAAATAATGATAGATTTTAAGAAAAACTATAAAGAGTTGAAAACTACAACAAAACACAGCAGTGGTAAACTTTAGACTGAGCAAAACAAAAGATCCATATTACGTTCCTGATTTGTACAACGATGTAAATATTGCCGGCAATGCACAGTATCCGTGAAGTATCCAGTATCCACAAACCTACCATGTTTGTAAGTCCAAGTTTATAGAGTCACCAGGTTAACGTACCATTTCTCCCCCCTTCCTCAGACACATGAGGTGTCCTAGAGAGATAATCTGTTGTACAATTTTGTGATCCAGCCAAATGGCTGTCAAATGGAAGTCAAATGGCTGGATGGCTAAAAACCATTTGGTGATACGAGCATTGGTGTCTCATACGGCCCAACGGCCAATGCTCTGTGATCAGTCTCGAGTGTGAATTTAGTGCAATACACATACGCACACACATACACACACAAACTCTGAGATTTCCGTTATATGAAGATGTTACAAAACATATCTGGTGTGTTTGAAATACATGTAAGAGAGCTGTGATTTGTAAACTTGTTATATCCTGTCCTCCTGAGTGTAAAGGAACTTTAAATGCCTGTAATTTCACAAGGAGACGTAACCCTTTATGTGTGTCTGTGACGTGTGATGTTTGATATGGTTACAATCCTCCAGGTCTGATCTATCTATTAAGCTGTATATCAATATTGTGAAATGTATAACCACATGTACATGCCGTTTTCAAAGTAAGCTTAATTTCCCCCTTAGTCATAAAGATGCAAATTAACGCCGTACCCCAACCAACGAGAGGCGTACGTTCACCGGAAAATGGACCATCATCATTGGCTGTCAACCAGGGTGTGCCCAGTTTAACTTTAAAACCAAGAAAGCAAGAGACTGTCTGGTCTCTTCTCTGGTGTTTCGCTCTTGTGTATCTCTCTTGTGTTTCGCTCTGATGTAATCTTTGTGTATTCCTCTATTCCTGTTTTATTTTGTCTTTGTTTCATTTTGCGTTTAGCAAGTCTGTTCTTAGTGCGGTGATCTCGTCTTCCGACTGAATTACCCACGTGCGTTTCGTCAGTCTTCCAGCCTCCCAGTGATAAGACTATCCATACGCATACAGAACTATTTTAGAACGTTTTGAATTTCCCGCGAATCAACCTCACTTGGAAGAATCAAAGAAGTCTGCCTCCCACTTCTTGGACGCTGCACACTTTCTCATACTCAACACTAGGTCTGAATGCAAAGCTTTGTTCCATCTAAATTTAGACACTTTAAAGTGTGTATCCTGTGGCTGTCTCTGAAGGTCTAACTGTGCTAGCAATAGTGTTTTCCTTGTGTTTCCATTATTCTGTTCTTGTTGTTTTATTTTCATTTTGTTTCATATATGTCTATGTTTTACATGCAGTGTAGTTCATTTTTATTAAACCTCATTTATGCATTATTGTCTCTGTCTGTGTTGATCACATAACAAAGCCTCTTTAATATGAGATCCTAACGCTACAATCTGATATTGTGTTAAGAGCACAAAACATTCACTGTAAATGATTTCTGTTATTTTCACAGGATTATACTGTTTTTCTCAAGTTTCTTACTGTATAACCTATGTACAGTAAATTACAGTAGATTTAGTTGTTTTCACAGTATTATTTTGTTTTTTCAACAGTTATGTACTGTGCACACAGTTGACAGTATGTTACTGTAGAATTTCAATGCATTCTGGGAAATTATCAGTTACTGTTAATCTAAATACAGCAGTGCGAATTGACCACGAAAAACACCACACACAGTTCCACGGGTAAAATTGCTAGCCTACTAATGTTATTCTTACATTTAAAAAATAATGTAGCACTGGTTGACCATTAACAGTCTTAATTTATGTCAGTGGGATGTGCATGCCCATATGGAAAAGGTTTGCTAAAAACACCTGTGATTCTTATATGTTCCAACAGAATATTGTAAGGAACATATGCTGCAAAATCCACATATATAAATTCCATAATATTAATATATATTTTAATCATACATGTCATATACTGAGTGTCCTACACAAAAGCCATATAGATTTTCTTTATGTTAAAACATAGGAAAATAATGCTAATTTAATATTCATGTCCAGCATATATCTTATAGCATATATCATATATTCATGTCAAGTATTAAGTTGACTTTCAAACTCACCCTGATGTCATCCAAGATATCCATGTATCGCTTAAATTTTTTATACACAGAATGGACTTCAATGGCAACCAACTATTCAAATGTTCAAAGAAGTTTCAAAAGTATAGCTATATAATATTATTTATTTTTTTTAGTATTTTTTAAAATTATTATTATTATTATTTTTAATGATCGATCGTTTCGCTAGATTAGACCCTTACTTCTTGACTGGGATCATGTCGAGACTTTGAAGCTACATTGAGATGGACATTGAACCTTCTTAGAAAATTAGAATTTTTGGTTACCATTGAAGTCTGTCTAGAAAAATCCTAGAATGTTTTCCTCAAAACCCTTAATTTATTTTCGACTGAAGAAAGAAAGACATGGATATCTTCATCAGTGTAAATTATTAGAATTTGGGTTTTCAAATGTCTTTGTATTTGTATTCCCTTTTTTTTTTTGTATTTCCCAAGTTTTCTGAATAAAAAAATAAAATAAAATACTATTCTTAACCTGTACAAACATAAAACTTTCCTTAAGGTATTCTTATGCATATCACCACCAGAGTTTGTCACATATACAAAAATATATTCTGGCCAATTTTCAACATTTTCTTCACTGTTCTAGAAACATGTTTGACGCAACTTGGTTAAATCGCTGCACCCTCTGATTTAAATAAAACTCTGTGATGAATTACATCCGGGACTTTTACTCTCTGAGCGCGACGTTTTTTTTATTTTTATTTTGCTTTATTCAATATTAACAATATAATACAACAACATCTGTTTATGCCAGGATTGATAGACAAAATACACTACTAAACAGACATACAAGACAAACAATGACCATAAAATAAAAAAAATAAAATAAAATAAAACAAGACCAAATTACAAAAAAGGATGCTAATTAAACATATTTGGAAAGTACAAGATCAGTCTTAATAGCCTTTCTATTTTTAAGACCTCTTACAGTGGTGTAATATTGTTTTAGCTCTGCTAAAAGGTGTTCAAAACTTGGTTTGGACTCTGCCCATTTCTTCTTATGAATATGGAATTTTCCTAAGATTAAAAACAATTGGACAAGAAAAGAAAAATCCTTATCTGTTCCACCATCTTTAAAGTAAATAAACACATCTTTTTTCCCTCAATGTTAAAGTTTGTCCAGTTTTACGTCTTATATAGTTTTCAACATCTCTCCAAAATAACTTACAGTATGTACAATCATAAAACAAATGACAAATTGTTTCGTCATAATTGCCACAAAAGGTACAGAAATATTCAGTATCAATTTTAAATCTCTCTAACGTTTTCTTTGCTGGGTATATTCTATGTACTATTTTATTATTTAAGAGGAACTTTTTTTTTAATTAACCACATTCTTTCCCATTTGATGTCTTCAAACTGAGAAGCCCAAAAGGAACGTGCTGCAGGAAGTGTTTTAGTGTGCATTAGATTCCTAATGTATTTGTTTGGACATTTTTTGGTGGTGATGTCAATGTCGCCAAGGAAAATTTCTTGTGTAGTCAAATTACTGCCACTTACACCAGTTGAGTTATATTTTAAAATCTGAATAATATTTCTTGGCACAGCATCAAAAACGATAGCATATTCCCTAGGGGAGACAGGAAATTTTGCTTTTGAAAGAAACTTGTCGCATGTTAGTAACTGTCCTTCTGTGTTCATGAGTTGTGCAACTAATAGAATGTTGTTATCAACCCATCTTTGGAAATATATAGATTTACTTTTATATTGAATATTCCTGTTGTTCCAAATATAACAGTTCGTGGGAGAAAAATTATGTTTGTAAACCATTTTCCAGGCTAACAGGGCATGCTTGTGAAAGTTGGCTAACTTCACGGGTAACTTCTCAACTTTAAAATCACATTTCAACAAGAAGCTTAATCCTCCCAGTGAATCAAAAATGTATTTGGGAAAGGTGTTCCAAATGGTCTCTGCTTCCTTAATTAAACTATTTAGCCATCTAAACAAAAATGAATTACTTAAGGTTTCAAAGGTCAAAACTTCAAGACCACCATCTTTCCTTAGATTACATTAAATATCTTTACGTAAATAATGGGATCTATTCCTCCAAATAAAATTAAATAAGATCTTATCAAGTTTTTTATATACACTAGCTGGCATTCCCATGGATAAAGATAGATAGACGGCACGTGATATCCCTTCTGCCTCAGACCAGTGTTTCCCAACCCTGTTCCTGGCGGCACACCAACACTGCGTGTTCCCTTTCGTAGTCACTTCGAGTTACGTCAGAAGTGACGGAGATTGGGGGATTTCGCATGAAAGCCAATCCTCTTCGAGTATTTAACAACGAGCCAATGGCATGCAATGCCTTGGGGCTGCGAAAATTTGCATAGCGTACTCCGCCCTACTCCGTGAGTATAAAAGGAGGAAGTGAACGCAACCGCAGTATGTTTTCGCTTCGGAGCCAAGAGAATTCTTCACTCCTCAAGCCATTCTCACTGATTCAAGACTCTTCGAGACGAGCGTCCTCTTCAGTGTTGGTGTGACGGCGGTACCCAGCGAGACTCTGCATTGCCTGCGATCTGAGCAGTGGTCTGCCAGACTTTGCGCTTCTCCCTGGTCGCCTCAGCGCTAAAAGAGTGAATTTCCTCCTCTCTAAGTAAAAGAGCTGCACGCGGCACGTCTTTTTAAAGACGACTCGCCCGTGTTCTTCTGGGTGCGTTCGTTTCATGTCATTTTCTGATGGTCGCGATCACTGCTCTGTGTGTGCCTGGGCTTCAGCATGCAGTAGCAGCGTTCGCGGATGAC